GGAGAGATCTGGTACTGGTCAATCTGGCTCCTGGTAGGATGACTTTTAACCCATGTCGCACGAACATCACCTGATCGTATTCCAAGAGTGGTCCAAACTTTTTGCCATAAGTCCAGCATGGTAGAGTCATCCACACGTGCTCCCTTTCTTCTGAAGGCCAAGACAATAGGCTGGTAATCAATGTAAACGTGAATTGGGCCCTCGGTGTACACCAAGAGCTGATGAAGTGCAAACAGTTCTGCTCGAGGAGAGCTCTGCACACACATACCAACAGTAGGTAGGGTACCACAAAGGATACCTCGAACTTCAAGCGAATCGGGGTCCAGGTGAACAACGGACCAACCGCATCTCCTCAACCTCCAATCCTTTCCATGTTCTCCTCCTGACCCGTCGGTCCCATACACTCCTCCGACGATTTTAACTCCAGAACTGATGGACTCCAAGAAAGATCCCCAGGCCCAGACACGAAGTTGCCCATCCGGAAGGTCATCCAGCGTCCAGCCCATGGGGACCAACCCTCGGGTCCAAAAACAGGAAGCGTCACTGGCCCCCTGGCGGGCATCATCGGCAAACCTATCAGTGAGTCGGATCGCAGAATCTTCGATATTTTTATTGTCCTCACACTCCCAAAACCGGTGGAAGGGGGTCTCAGGGGCCAAACCACACCTGGGACACACTCCGTTGCTTTCATACCCCGAATCTTTTAATCTCATTTCAGGCCACTGCCCACCTATGATCAGGTTGGTGAGCAAAGCAGCTCCTTCTCCATCACCGTTCTTTTTCAAAGAGGCGTGGAGCTGCTTAAAGACTGTAAAATCAACACCTCCACGGAGTCCTTCTCCACAGAAGTGATCAGCAGCTCGTTGCCAAACTTCGCGCGAAACTGCAAGGAATACAGCGTGCCACAAGAAAAATCTGAAATCGCCCGAATCTGCTTTCACATGATATGGCCCAGGGAACTTCCAGGAGATGGGGGAATCAGGGCTCCCATGGAGGTCCAGGATACAAACAATAACAGCAGCAATAGGTCCTCTAACTCGTCGCCATCGGGAGGTCGGGTCGATTTCATTGAACCTATTCACGAGGTTGTTCCAAACATTGTTAATACTCATCTTCTGCTTTGGCATCAGGGCGGTCCAGGTTCTCCCCCACTCAAGAAGGTGTTCATAACGAAGTCTAAAACCAGGGTCATCTCGCATCGGATTATTGATCGATAGAATCGTAGTGGAGCATGCACCTGAAGCCCACAAGCCTGATGCTTTAGCAGCTTGACCTCGAAGCCGCTGTACAAGGGAGGGCGGGAGGCCAAGCACTTGGTGACTCCAAGTTGAAACAGCCTGCACAGCTGGCTTAAACAAGCGCTTCGCCTTTTTATTAGTGCCAGCCAGGAAGGACAACTTTTTGGAGCGTCGGGTACCCTCAGCCTGCCGTTGTTTCATCTTCCACATGGTCCTCCTCCTTCCTGCCGTAGTAGCAACGCCTAAATCTTTAGTAGTATCCCTCACCGTCAGAGGGAGCCCAAGATTAACACATTTCTGGTGCACGATCCTAGTCAAACCAACACTAGAGCCCACGATACATGACTTAGACGAAATAACACAGCCTCTACCAACGAGAGCTTGGTGCAACTCAACAATAGCTGGGACAATAGTATGAGCAACAGCTTCAGCACGCCCTTGTAGGGATTGGGTTAAGTCATCAACGTACGCAAAGATGGGGACTCTCGGGATCCTCTGGTGGGCAGTTTGCGAAATATCATACAGGTAACATTTAATCCACGGCATAGACTGAGAACACCCTGCCAGGATAGACTGTCCTGCTCCAAGGACACGAGACACTACCGACTCCACCTCGAGCACCCTGGGGGCCGTGTGGATCAGCAGCCCCATGTACAGCACGAGGGCGGAATAATCGACCTCTCTGGCAAGCTTGACCAACTTAGATGGGTCGATAGAATCAAAAAATTTGTCCATATCCCAGTGGGCCGAAAGGGACTGGCATCCTTCCTCACGGGCGATTTCGTGGACCAACTCGCGAACCATGGCCGCTCTCAGGGCCGAGGAATTTTTAACAGCAGTATCCCAAAACGCAACATGAGAATCGGTCCAGTCCAAAATACGGTCTCCCCTGAGTTTAGTATACATCCTATACAAGGTGGGGCATTTGGTGATAGGCCGTTCCGTGCTCGCGGTCTTAGGGATAAGGGCCACAAGACACAAGTAAACCTGAACAGGGAAACTCTGGGTGTACTCAAGCGCATTGAAAAGGTCACTCAAATCCTGCAAAGCTTCTGGCGGCAGCTGCAAAATGTCCTTAGGCGACCAACTGTCGACTCCAAGGCTCGTTCCTGCAGGGAAATACTTGCAAACCCGTGTAACATCCTGCGGTTGGATGGGGATTAAACCAGTGGCCTCAACGGCCGCCTCGTGCCGGAGCTGACCCATGCTATACACGAGGGATTCGATTTGACCACTTGATGGGGTCCACCACTTTTCCCAAAACAGCTCTCGCACTTCAAGCATCTCGGTGGGGGATTGGGCCACTTTACCTTGATCAATGAGGAATTCAACCTCCTGCTTAGAACCGTGCCTCAACCACTGATGGATGGGTTTGGCTCCCCCTTTGAGGCCCTCCGACAACCACTTCTTAATGCAACCCTGACCAGCTTCTCGAGCCTGCGTCCACGCACGACGAAGGATGGGTTCCAACCCTTCCTGCATAACATCAACCGAGGTGGGGTCAAGGGGGGGGTCCTTCAGACGTTCAGCCCAAACCTGGGCCTGCCTGGCGTTCACCAGGGCGGTGATGTGCTGGCCGACCTCGTCAGCTCGTTGAATTAGGACATTCCTGAGGGCGGAGAGGCGCCGAGTTCCTCCTCGCTTCAGGGCAACTTTCAAATCAAACAGCCTGGAGGAAACAAAAGACCAAAAGGCAAGCGTCGGGCACGCAAAGCCTTGCCGAAGGGGACCCCTTCTGCCAAGTCTTCCCAATCGAAACTGGACCCCATGACCTCTTTGTCCCCCAGGGGACTCTTGACAGGACCGAGACAACATCAGGTTTTCGGCAGCAACTGACCATTTTTGATACCCCTCAGACAGTGGTCCTGGAGGCCCAGCTCCATGAAAGGGAAGGAATGCCGAACGAACTTCGGCAGGAACAGAGACTTGCTGGCGGGGAACCCGATGCAAGTGCACTTGCCATGGCAGGTCAGGTCCAACGGCAGGAAGGAAGCGTGGTGGTTTGTCCCGCTTACATACAGGAACCGATAGGATATTAAGTGGAAGGTGGACATGTAAACATGCATGCGTCTTGAAACCCGAGGTAAGATCAGCATTCATGGAAACATACGGCCGAAGGGAACGAGATATCACTCCATAATCAATCATCGAACCAAAGCCTTTATCACATGTGAAGTCGACATTC